TGATACTGATTAATTGATATTGCACTGAAATGCAGAAGAACTGGATCAATTGATTTCTAATTTTTTTCACGCTCGGATGACTCACTTCTACCCACGGAAATCTTTCAAATAACAGCCCCAAAACTGCGGGGGAGAATGAATTTCTTTAAATTTTCATTTTGGACCTAACCTTCAAAGTTCAAACTGTGACTAAAAGGATGATGTTCGCGTAGGATGCAGTTTCGAGAACATTTCCGAGTAAAGAAAACTTGATGTCAATGAAGTAGGTTGTCAATTTTTTTAATTATATTACTTCTCAGAAAAGAAATGTGAAGTTTTCCTTTGCATTATTTTGAAATAAACGAAACTTTAATAATCCATACGGTCACAGTGTTCAAAAGTAAATAAAAACCGTTTAGTGTTTATGTCACATGATTGTCTATATCTCTCTCTCTAGATAGGGAATGGATGTAGGTGTTGCCGTCAATTTGAAATGAGCAAATCTAATTAGAAAAGTCTTTATAATTTCCTTATAAGCCCAATAATTTTTAAGCGCGTTCATTCAGTTTGCCACTTCCTAGACCTGAAAATAACCACTCGCCAATAAAAAAAAGTGGTGACTTAAATTAAATAAACAACCGGCCACTTTTTGCCATTGCTTTTATTTATTTATTTATTTTAAACTGTTAATCTTTATGATAGGTCTTCAGATTAATGCAGAAAGACACTGGAAAACAGAATTTTCATAAAAACGCCCAATGTCGAAATTCAAAATTTTGATCCTTCCATTTGCGATGTAAAGATTCATGTAGAAGAGAGATATTTAACAATTGGTCCCCTTCCGTAATGTTTTTTTTTTTTTTTTTTTTTTTTTTTTTTTTTTTTTTTTTTTTTTTTTTTTNTTAGTTTCTCGCGGCCACTGCCCGGAAGTTTCCAAGAGTTGGCGATTATTCTGCCACAGATCACGATACGGAAATCTCCCCTAATAATTTATAAATTTCATAGATTAAATGTGTGCATCTAGTGTATTTTGCCTCCCCAAATATTTTAAAATTAAGTTCCTTAAAGTCAGTATGTTTAATTAAATTTTGTAACATATTTATATAATTTTTATTGTTGAATTAGTTTTTTTATAGCTGAACGTTATTCCTAATAGGTTTTTAAGTATAATTTAATCCAAGCACAAAAAAAAAATAATAATAAGGTTGCTTAAAGTGGCTAGCAAATGATTTATGGATATCGGTCACTGAGTCATTAGGTTTGAGGAAAAAGTGGCTAACAAGTTATTAGAGTCTCCGGCTACTGGCTACTAAGTGAAAACTTAAATTTTCAGGTCTACCACTTCCTAAGCACATGTTCGTGTCTGTAGTGGATACATTATCATATACGGGAAAACTTAAATTTATCGGACATGAAATCTGTTGCAGTATATGCATCAGATCTAATCCGAGAACTTTAAAAAAATGTCAAATAGTACGATCTTCAAATGAGATTAACAAAAATAAGGCGTTAAAAAAAGTCCTCACACACCCCAAGTTAACGCATTTTATTGAAAAGGGTAATTTAGGACCTTCATCCACTAAGCGCTCTATTTGTCAAACTTGGCGATGCAATACAAAACAAATATAAATTCCAGTTGGTTAAATTAATTTATTTATTACAAAACAACCCTCATTTTAAACGCATCATACTATAACTGACAACAAAGGAAATGCTTGAATAATAATAAATGTCTAAATGAAGCAAACATATACTTTTATAAAGGATTACATTTTATCGTGTCTATCGAATTACATATTTATGCTCGAAATGTAACTCTTCTATCTAATCACTGTAATTGCATCACAAAGACTAAGTTTTTTTCTTCTTTCTGTTGAATCTTTTTCACAGCCAATAAATAATAGTAGCTCTTTAATATTTTAAACACGAATCGAGAAAGGGAAATGGTTGAAAACGACCGCTTTTGAGATAATGCGGAAGTCTGTTTTGGCAATTTAACTTCTCTCTTTAAATGATGGCTGTTTTTTTAATGAAATTAGTGACGCAGAGAACTAATAGAAATTTAGGAACGCGTATAACAATATTATTTTAAAATTTGCTGCAACCATATGAAGATGTAACGTTTAACGATTTGTGCAAATTAATCATTCTTGAACTTAACAAGAAACGATGGTCTGACTTGAACAGAAATATTGTTTTTAATTTATTTTATAACCGCCCGCAATTTCGGGATAATGACATTCAATATTCTACTCAGTTGCCTTGTAATTCAGAACTCAACTTAGAAGACAAATGAACTCCTGCATAAAGCATTGGAACAAACTAGCATTCATGGAGGACTTTTTGATGGAACTAACCCAAATTTGCTTACATGGAGAGAAAAACAGCGAAAGCCACCCACGGTAAGCATGACGGATAGGGGATTCTTGCCTATGATCCGTCAACCACTGAGGATATTTTACGTCAGTCAGTACCTTGAGTCAGTACTGTGGACAGTGAGAACCAGAAGTAAAATTTGTCTCAACCATTCCAGGTTTGAATCTATGGTAGACTAAAAAAAGAAAACCGCAAAAGGGGATTAATTCGAAAAATGTAGGCAAGCCTCAAATCCCTTTGGCGTGAATAGGTACCGATACAAAAATATCCCCCCAAAATTCGCCATTTCACTGCAATAGCATGCCATGGGAATGTGATGCCATAATATATAAGTGCAAATACCGTAAACTCGATATTAAAATAAATATTTTTTGAATTTTTAACCACATGAAAGAACTGTTGTAACTAAGGTTGAAAATTGTTTTTTAAAAAGAGTTAAGTATTCAGTGTTTTTTTATCAGAATTATAAACAAATTCAATTTTAATTCCAATTTTTTATACAAAACCTACGCAGAATAATCACTGCAACTCAATCCAATGTTCTCAGAAAAATCATTTCAACATCGATATTATCATTAAAATAATGTAAGGTATCAAACTCCGTTAATATAACTGTAATTTCCTTGAACTAAATTTATACCTTAAACCGCAGTTTCCTGAAAAATTACTGTAATTTTAATAAGGTGCTAAATTGAATCGTATTTTCTTTCAAGTTGAGTCAAAATGTTGTGTAATTAAGTTCAAGAATTATTCTGCGTGCATACTTGCACTAATTTGCACCAAATGACGATAGGTGTCTTTTTGAGCATTTCCAAAAAAAAAAAAAAAAAACGTATCCATTTCACTCTAAAATACAATTTCAATCATATTTGAAAAAGATACTCTGTTTAAGAAGATGTTTTATTTTCTTCCGTTTGTCGTCACAACATTTTATTCACATTTGAAAGAATTTGCTTGTTTCAGTTTCAAAGTTCGTTCCATAAACATTTTAAAATCAATTTTCTTTACTCATTATTGATGTTATGGATTCACAAACTGCGGCTTTTTAATGATCTTCGTGCGACCTTCACCTTCCAGGCAGAAAATAATTGGCAAAACTGCATAACTAGCTTAAGAAATTTTACAACTGTCAAACAAACTTACAACTGTTTTTCAGACTTCACCCAACTTCTAAAAAGTAGAGGTAATAATTCGAGGTGTCAAAATATTTAAAACTTTTTTACATTTCCATTTTTTAAAGATTTTATTTGGACAAAACAAGTTAAAAACAAATGTTGTACAACAATTTCTTTAACAATTAAGGGTTTAAGTAATTTTCAGGCACCTGAAAAAATAGTAATAAAATAATTTTTTTGTACAGAAAAAGTTGAAAATTTTTATATTTTAATTTTATTTAAGACAAAAGGTGCAAGGCAAAAGGTGCAAAACTTCAAATGTTTTCTGCTCCAAAAACATTATACCTATGATTTATAAATATAATGCATGTTTTGCTGTATTTTGTATGTTAATTTGTAATAAGCAAAATTTTATATTTTTCTAATTACAAAGAAATAATTAAAAAATGAAAATGAATTCATTACGGCCCTCTAAAGTCAGTTTTTATTCCTGCGATTTTCTAAATTAAGTTAAATTCTGCATTTAATTACGTATTAGAATATAATCTAATAATTTAATGAAAATATAAAAGGTGACATATTGAATAAATATGAATTATATGTTAAATGCGCTAAGTGACAATTTTATGAAATTTGAAATTGAGGAAACAAGTGTTAATAGACATTTTTTAAAATTTTAAATAGTGGGGAAAAACGAGTTAAGTGACATTTTAAGTAAATTTGGACTTAAAATGTCTTAAATTATTTGGACTTAAAATGTTTGGAAAAAGGGAAGTTTGAGTTAAATGTCATTTAAGTAAATTTGGTAAATTCAATATTGTACAGAAGCATTGTGAAACTGTTCATAAAATACATTTCTCTAATTAATATCATTTTGTTAAAAATTTAATAAAATAATTTTTTGTTTTTGAAATTACCTAAAACAAGTTCTATAATCCGGAAAATGTTTTGATTTCAAAATGCTACACAACACCTCAAACTAATCTTTTTTTCGTCAATTAGTATCTTAAAAATTTTAAATTTAATTTGTGTGAATTAATTCAGTTGTTGAATTCATAAAAATGTTAATTGGATAATTTTAAAAAAAACTTTTGGTTGGAAATTTTCGGATTTTGTTTTATTAGTAATAATTTTTATATTACTAAAAAATTTTAACTATAAACATTTTTTAGATATTTTCTTTGGAAACTATTTGGAGTACAATTTATAAATTTTAAATTTTTATAAGGGTTATGAAAAAAATGTAATTTACGTGTATTTTCCCAAACAAAAACTAGCTAAAAAAACTAATAATACTGAAAATTTCTTGTTCTAAAAATTTGCATTTAATATTATAGATAAATGGTTTAATTAAATATAAAAATATTAATTAAATTTTAAAATTTAAAGAGAAATTTCTGAACTTATAATTTTACGTTTTTAGGAAATTTAAACATTATTCATCTTATAATTTCTTAAATTATCGAGCACATTGTAAAAATTTTAAACAAGTTTTGAACATTACCTTCAAACAAATAATGACAGACTTACTTGTCTAGTTATTTTTATTGATGAAAACCGTGCACTTTCATCAAGTCAGTCAGCTAAATTAAACACTTCACTCCCAAAATACAATTATCAACCAATTATTCAATATTTCTCGCCAAACCTAGTCAAAGAATGTTCCAAAGAAACAGATGGTATTGTAGAAAAAGGTAGCCAATTCAAGACAATGTAAATCTGAGGAATCTCAATGCGTTGCCGAATCCATGACTACCGCTTCTAGAGAACACGCGAATCAACGCCAATCCTGTTTCGTGCCCACATTTAACAAAATCTAGATTTATAACCGAATGGGCGAAAGAAAATAATGAAAAAAAACTTTTGTCGACAAAAAAAAAAGAATAAAAAATTTCATGGCGTGCTTTTTATGAAAGGTGGCGGAGGTGGTGTGTTGTTAGGGCTGAAAGGGAAATTGCATCATTTAAAGTTCTTCATGGGTATTCCGGTTTGTGCCTAGAATCGAGGAGGTTAGTCCAAGGTTGCATTTGCAAAAGCGATTTATACCCGTACCATTCTCATTAAAAAGGTGGAGGCCCAGAGCACCAAATGGATAAAAAAAAAATGTTCTTTGGCTAAAACGTCGCCGTTTGTTGCACGTGGATGAAATGAGTTTGCAAACAAGATGGTTTAAATGTCCTTGATTCATGGAAAATATCCGGTCAATTTATTTAAATTGTGTTTATGATCTATAAGTATAGAAATCGTCCCCGAGGTACATTAAAATAACATAGAAAAAGGGAACAAGTTCTGCGCAATGGGCTTGCCATGAAACAAAGCTGATTGCTTTTAGCTAGCGACTGAACTCAAGTATTTTTAAGAATTGTAAATTAATTCTTGTTAGGAAACACCAAAGGAAATTAGATGTTACGGACTGTTATTAAGTTACAAGCTGATTTATAACCTTATTTTTCTGTCTCTTGTCTTAAGGATTGTCAGTAAAATGCCATTTAACTCAATTTCCCCTTTCTCGTAACACTGTGTCACATATTCTGCTATTGATCGAAGTAAACTTTCGATTTAATATTAACACCTGTTTCAAAAAGAAAAAAAAAATTATGACTGTCTTACGTAAAATTACAAAATTAAAAAAAAGCGAGAGATGTTTAGGTTTTATACATCCCTCCCTATCGTCCACATTTATGTTCCCTTTCTCCTCAGACGCATCTTTTTTAATTATTTTAATTTTTCGATGAAATTTTACCTTATTTTATGGTTCTATGGATTTGTTTTAATTTATGGCATCAACAAAAACAGAGAATAATATTCCTAAAATAGTTCGAAACACTTATTTTACAAGAAACCCAGAACATTAAATGATTTCAGTAAAGCATTCCCGCCACAGCCTGAGTGGACCAGGGGGGTCATGGAGGTTAAAGATCCACAATTTCGTGACCAACAGCATAATTGTAACAATGAGGTCAGTAATGTGCCCAGGCCACCTTCACTTCCTAGTTAATAATTTAACAAGATAGCTATTTAAAATGCCCTGCAATCAAAATAGAGTATAATACCACATATGCAGTACATAAGGGAAACAATGAAAACTTAAAACAAAATAGGAACTCCGTTTCCAATTTAATGTATTTCCTCTCTCACCATAACTACTACTTTAAAAGAATACAAATCAACAAAATCTCAATCAAGATTAGGAGAGAACATGAGTCTTTATGTTAGTCTAACAGTAATCATTACAGTAAACAATTATTGCATGTATAGCGCATAAAAAAGTAAAAAAATAATAACGGACTTCCCTGAAGACTTTTGATCTAGTGATCGTATCTTTACGTTATATAACTCAATCTTAATGGTTCAAAGGGGTGACCAGAAATATGCTAATTGACTGAAGCAGGCGATATCTTAAGTTACAAAATCAGACACAAAAACTTACTTTCTCTAAATAATCCTGATTTTAGACGGATTTGGATTACTGACACCCCGAAGTATAAAGGGTAGCCGCAATCTGGGAAATATGCTCATAATATTTTGGTAAGGAGAAAGGTTCAATCTTTGGACCCCTCAATGTTAATTTCATTTTTTGCTTATTTCGCTATATGCTTATCGCTTTGCTTATTTCGAGAAATTTTTAAGAGAATTGAAAACTTTTTGCACACAATTATAAAATTCATTTATCCAACGATTATTCCATGCAAAAAATAACTTTTCGTGAATATTTAATCTTTATTTTATTTAATAATATCTAATTATTTTATAATTTTATTTAATAATTTTTTATTTTTTTATTTTATTTAATAATTTATTATTTTTTATTTTATTTAATAATTTATTATTTTTTTTTATTTAATAATTTATTATTTTTTATTTCATTTAATAATTTTTTATTTTTTATTTTATTTAATAATATTTTACTTAATAATATCCCCACTAAGAGCATAAAACTAGTTGAAAATTTTTTAATTGTTAAGTACCAATAGAATTTTTTACATCATTTCAAAAAAGTTATTTTTACATGGCGAAATACAAATTTTGAGCGATACATGGAATAATATTGGAATAATTCCAGATAAATCGAATTTTAAAAAAGTTGTGTTTTAAAAATTCGATTCTTAGGACCTAGATTGTCTGCACTAATTAATTCGCATATTCCCATAATTGCATTCGCATATTCGCATATTCCCATTAGCGTTGTCAAGCTACCCGTAATACATTTTTGTGTAATTTTTAGGATGAAACTGAAATGTGGTTTCATTTCAGCCAAAGAATCATTCGTAAAAGCAAACCTGTTTTAATAAGTGAGATAATCAGATAAGGGACTTAAATTTAATTTTTCTCAAACAAATTAGTATTCACTTCTACTTAAAGGCAAAATGTTGATGATGTTACCCGCTCTCGCTATTGCAACCAAATGAACCCATATAAAAAACTTGAAGAGTGAATTGTCATGCAACTCAGCACTAAGAGGAAAATACCTATAACTATAATTTTTTATACATATATAAGCACAATACACAAAAAAAAAATAATAATCGTGGTGTTTTTTACCCAAAACGTTTTTACAAAGCGCTTTCTTAAGCAATTTGAAAATATGGCTTATCGTTATTTTGCATCAAGCACTTTAGACAACAGACAGTAACTCTTTTTAAGGAAATAAACAGGTTTAATATATTACACTTATGAAATTGTGTTTATTTTGAAAATAAATAAATATAATTTTCCTATTAAGGACCACACGGACGTATACATCACTGGGAAAAATATTTTTTTTTGCATTTATACAAAACTTGATCTTGCCTAATTCAGGTGTTGTGATTTTAAATTTGAAATAAGTTTGGTACAGACTTTTTAAATGACATTTTAAGCTATATTTGACCAGAAATATACAAGTTTAAAAACGTTAAAAATAACAAGGGGTCGCAAATGGTGCGACAAACTTCTAGGGAAGTTAGGAATAAAATTGGGGATCATCATCAGGAATAAAATTGCGTAAGAACTCATGCCCAGATATATCGTCATACGCCGCTAGTTGCGCTTTCCTTTTAGACCTGTTCAGAAGCACACGTAGAAACAGTTCATAATATGGAAACACTCCAGCTGCCTATGACAATATTTCCGGGTATGGGTTCAGACGCAATATTAATCCTGATGACGTGCGAATTGTCATGCAACCATGCATGTCCTCCAGGAGTTTGTCGCAAAATTTACGCGACCCCCAAACGTTCCTAAACTTTTACGTTTCGGCAAAAAAAATTGATTAAAAATATTATTAAAGAAACCTGTAGCTCGGAGAAAAACCGATTGCAGATTCGAAATCTGCGATACGATAATATTTAAGATCTGAAGAATCGCATTAGACAGATTTTTTTTGTTGTAAAATAAATTTATTTCCATCTTTACTTTTAAGTTTATTTCAAAATCATACTTTATTCTTAATTAAACTATTTGCTTGAACCAAGTATTTCCCAACTAAAAATTTAATTACTTATTAAAAATAGTAATAGATTAAAGATTTAGTGATTTTAGTCGCTGTTATACTTTTGTCTTAAGTCCTCCTCTCAAAACCCCTCGGTATAGGGCATATACCTTTTCCGAAAGAAATTAAATCCTGAGGGTTAATTATGATTTATAATTCCATTCATTAATTGTTTACTTTGACCAAAGATGGTATTTTTGCGTAGGCCGGCATTTGAACTCAATGTTTTTATTCCCCATGGTCACGCCTAGCATTAATGAGTTCCAATCTTAACTGTCGAACACGTTTGAAAGCGTAACTTTTTTTTTCTTTCTTTTAGGGAGAGGCGTTTGAGTAGGTTACACTACCAACAGCTCACGAAATCTGTGTCTCCACAATGTCGTGAGTACTTATTCCGAGAGCGGCAACAGAGATTTGACCACTGGTCATTATGAATGCTAGATGACACGATCAATGACCTAAGATATTTGCATTTCGACGAAATGTACAATTTTACGAGTTCAAAGGAATCACTGTAGATAAAATCTTAATTTGTACAGTAAATTGTGTATATTTTGTATCAATTATCTACACGTAGATAAAAAAAAAACCTCATAATACCTCTTATCAATATGCTACACAATGATGGAAGAAATATACATTAGCTAACTATGTAATTATCATTTTTCTAATTTCAATTTATTACAAAGATGCTTTTAAAATATGATTCTTAATCCAATTTTTGATGGATTTAATGATTTCAATTAAGATGCTGTCCTTTTAATCTTTTATCAGTGTAATTGAAAAACGGAAAAATTAAAACTGAGATGAATGGATCAGGTTTAGGAGGATCTTAAGATTTTAGACATGGAAATGACCGGATCGCCACTAGGCGAGTCAACTAAAAGAATTGCGACTTAAATTAACTAAACAACCGGTAAATTTCCCCATCGCATTTTTTTTTAAAAAATCGTTTAATAATTAAAAGTACATCAATGAGTAAAGACTCTGAAAAACAGAATTTTCATTAAAATGTCCAATGCCCCCATTTAAAATTTTGATCCTTCAGAATCCATTAATTTGCGGAAGGAGTTCTTTAACAAATCAAATGTTTCAAAGTTGTCATGTATACATTAAATGTATCTTGCCTATTCAATTATTTTGAAAAAAAGTTCTTTACAGTCAGTATGTTTAGCTAAATTTTGTCATATATTTATATTTATATTTATTTTTATTGTTGAACTAACTTTTTATAGCCATAGATTATTTTTAACAGGAATTTTTGAAAAAATATAATTTAATCCAAGCAAAAAAAAGTCTGCAAAAAGTGGCTATTGAATGAAAAGGACCTGCCGATATTGATTACAGACTCAGTAGGGTTGAGGAACAATTCGCTACTAAATTATTAGAGTCTGCCTGCCATTGGCTTCTGCTTCTTCTTGGGCACTACAGCCTATGATAGGCCAAGGCCGTCTCAATTAGTTTTGCCATCTTGATCTATTCTGTGCCATAGCCTTCCAATTAGTTATTCCTATTATCTTTAGATCCCTCTCAACTGCGTCCAGAAACCTAGTCGGTGAAAAACCCCT